TTACTTTTTGTTGTTGTTATTGTACTGTGTCTGTCTCTTATACACATCTTTGAATGTTTGCATACGTATTCTTTTTTCCATGAATCGATGAACCAATAGGCATGAAGAACGCACTTCCGTACAGAAATTATGTTTACGACTTCGAACCAAAAACAGCGTTTTTAATTTTATTTAATTGAAAGCAAGTTAGGTCAAGTCTTGTTAGTCCGATCTGTCAACCTATGCATAGGTAGGTTAGCATCCTTTTGTAGGCCAGAACCCAGTAGTATTTTTTATTTGCTTTAGTACGGTATTACTATTATTACTAACCACCAAGATAAATAGAAAACACATAAATACATTGTATGTACAACATAGAATGAATACACATATTCAAAGAAATATCTCTATATTTATTTATTTATTTATAATGTTTGTTTATTTGTTTGTTTGATTGTTTGTTTGTTTATTTATTTAGGTATAAAAGAATATACAAACGGCAGCCAAAGGCTGAAATGAATGAATACAAAACTAGAATATATTAAGAAATGCAAGAATATTAAAAATATTATATACAAAATTGCACTAAGAAAGGACAAAACATTTAAATACATAAGAAAAATCACATAAAAAATATAACAACAATGCTTCCCTTGTCCTTGTTCATAATGAAATTGGAAATATGAATAGTCCTGGGAACCCGTGGAATGCACAGTGCAGCACCACAAACGGATATGGTCCTTTTCTCGAATAATTCTCAATGTGAGGATTATTCGAGGAGCCGGGTTTGAACCGTGGTCTTCAGAACAAGAAGCAGGAACAATACATCTCAGCCAAGCGATCAGCTAAGGTATACATATTTTATAAATTTACTTTGCTTCTGCTCGAGCGCTTTTGTAATTTTTACCTCTCACTTCTTTTTTTTTCTTCTTTGTTTTAATCATTATGTAACTTTCAGATAAAACTGTTGTACACGAGTGGGCACATCTACGATGGGGTGTTTTCGATGAATACTCAACCACTACACCATTTTTTGTTATGGAAGGTAATAAGATAGAAGAAACACGATGTTCTCAATCAGTTGCTGGTGTTTATGAAGACAATACCTCAAAAGATAAAAAATGCACATTAGACCCCGGAACTGGAGTTTACACCAAGAGTTGTAAGTTCATCCCTGACGAAAAGCAGACAGCAAATGTTTCGATTATGTACAAACAATATTTGCCGTCGGTAAGCTTTTACTTGTTAAAAACAAATAATAACGGACACTTCGACTCCCAAAATAATTTAGTAAATAGATTTGCTATTGGTAATCATTTGCATATTGCTTCATAAAGAAAGAAAATGTAGACATAAGCGTGCATTACGTAAAGATTTAACGTATTACTGTATTTATATTCCAGATAAGCTTCTTTTGTAGAGAAGATAAAATTGACCCTAACAATAGACATTTTGAAGAGGCCCCAAACAGACAAAATACCATTTGTGAAACTAAAAGTGGGAAGTAATGCTTGAAACAGATGACTTCATAGGCGGTAAAAATCCACCACTGAAAGAGGGAAGCGTGGATACAACGCCGAAATTTCGAATTGTTCAGTCTACAACGCGACGCGTTGTCTTGGTTCTTGATACCTCAGAAAGCATGATGGTAGGCCTAAGTTTTGCGTATACTCACCGTCCTAAACATAGAATTAATCATAACAGAAAGCATCATTGGGCGTATTCTACTGGTTCACTTCGTTGACTACGAATTTTCGTTGAGTATTATTTTCATTCGACTGGTTCGTAAAATAGACTTCGTTGACAACGAAAATTAACGTAATCTGCGTTAAGTTATCAAGGTGACCAAAAACAAACATGGCCGATTGGTCAGTTTAGAAAAAAGCATTTGCGTTAATTATTTAGATTAAATTTTAGAAAATAAAAATTATAATATTTACCCACATGAATTCAAAAAATAATTGTAGCCTAATAGAATTCAAAAACTGGATGAAACATTACTTTTACAAAAAAAATCTATACTGCTACAAGCCGAAGCAATCTTGATTATGCAGCGTGCATTGCGGTAACTATGCAGCCATTTTGTTTTGTTAGTTTTCTATTCGACCGGTCGTCTTCGTTTAGTAGGAATTTACCACTGCGCAGGTGGGTGTGGTTTAACAAAGAACGATTAGTCGAATACGCCCATTGACTCTAAACATCATGTATCCACCTTCCTTTAACTGCGATTCTTCTAATAGTTTTAACTATTATTCTTGCTATTGATCTGCATTATTGTTTATATACGGTATGTTTACATAAAATTATGTAAACCCAACTGCCCAAGTAATTTTATCTGGTTTCTATTGTGTATAAACATAATAATTTATACCAAGACTTAATACGATCTGTTGTGACGTATCGGTCGGTTGTCAACGTTAGAAAGAAAACCAGCCATTGTCTGATGAAGATCCGAAACATCACAGCAGTACGTATTTGGTCCCAATAGTTTGTAATGACAATTCCATTTTCATAAAGTAACATATCTGATATATTCATTTACAGAACATTCTGTTGAATCTCAGTCAGTTACTTGCCCCATTAAGGCGTACCAGTTGTCAAAATAATGCGCAGGTCGATCCAGCTGAAATAATTTTGTTTCCAGACAACCAATAAGGAACTCTTATTCATGATAGATGTATATGAGAAATGCTATAGTAATGCTATATTGCAAGTGTGAACATTTTTACCCAACCTGCGTTCAAAACCCTGAACCTTCTGCTGTCTTCTATACACACACGCCTCAACCAACTTTGTTACTGGAGCTTGGTTGGGAAATCAAATCTGTTTATGAGCAAACTCACATTTCACTCTTTTGATCATGCTGGGGTAGATCTGGATTCAAACTTAGCGGGGTGGGTCAAACAATTTGCCAAAAAACCCATCCAAAAAGAGGGTGGGGGAGGGAGGTTCTGGTGGTCCTTCCCCGGGAAAATTTTGATTTCTAGATGGCGGGAAATGAGTTTTCCCGACTTCAAGGGGTGTCTTTTAATGAATAGCAAGTTAGCTTAAATTTTATCATTCTTATTCTAAATAGGTCTATTAAGTGTGTATACATACAGAAAAAAAAAAATTGTAATTGCATGCATATTTGTTATTCCACGAATCGATGAACCCGAAAAAGAAAGGAGGATTCTCCTCCGGGAAAATTTTGATTCCATCGCGGGTAAATGAGCTTTCCCGGCTAATGAGGTGTTTTTTAATGACTTTTAAGTTCTTCAAAATTCTAGGTTTTTCCTTTTTGAAAACGGGCAGGTAAATTTTCTAATTCTTATTACAGTATACGTCTATTATGTGTGTATACATACAGAAACAACATTTAATGTTTGCATACGTATTCTTTTTTCCATGAATCGATGAACCAATAGGCATGAAGAACGCACTTCCGTACAGAAATTATGTTTACGACTTCGAACCAAAAACAGCTTTTTTAATTTTATTTAATTGAAAGCAAGTTAGGTCAAGTCTTTTTAGTCCGATCTGTCAACCTATGCCTAGGTAGGTTAGCATCCTTTTGTAGGCCAGAACCCAGTAGTATTTTTTCACATTTCTTCACAGGAGGGGATGGAAGGTTTGTCCGAATCCTATGAACCCCCCCCACCAAACCCCGGATCTTCGCGCCATTGATGTCTGAGATATGCTACAAAAAATTATATAATTTGTTCGGATCTCATATATAAACATATGTTCTTGTTTGTGTTAATAAATGAATTTCAAAAACACTACAGTATTTATTGAGGCCAAGCGCTATTGCTTTATGATAACCTAAATAAGACTACATAAGGCTCTTTTTGAAAGTGTAAGATGTATTTTAAACAAAATGAAAAAAGAAATACAATTCTTAAAAACTACCATAAACTCTTCTCAAGACCTTAAAGTTCTACTGTTAGGCCTACATTTATGTTAGATATATGTATGCCTTACATTTATTTTGTACTTTTAGATTTCTAAAACAGTTTATAGCCAAAGCTCAAGGGCCCTGAAAATTTAGGTCTAGAATGTTGTTTGCTCTGCAGCTAAAGGGGGAGAGGGTGGCTCAGATCCGCTAATGTCATGCGTCCTTGAGCCGCACTAGGTAATTTCAAATTCTTGCAGGGTGTTCCCTTAAAGAAACTTCGTCAAGGAACTATGCGGTACCTCAGCTCTACCATTGACACTGGAAGTTATGTTGGCATTGTCGAGTTTTCCACGTTTGGCACAGAGCTTGCTCCACTCACACTTGTGTCTGATGACAGCTCCCGAGATAAACTTATTGCAGCTCTACCTTCATCAGTAAGCGGTAGGACAAGCATTGGGTCAGGTGTTCTAAAAGGAATAGAGGCAAGTGAAAACGGTCAATGCTTCAGTTGTAAAATATTAATAAGGTTTAGTAGATGATGTTGACATAACATTTCCAGTGGCATACCCAGACGAGGGGCGGGATGCTCATGGTACCGAAGAACCCCCTATTGTTACTTTGGACATTCCAGCATAAAATGCCATGAAACGCCCAAGAACATGTTTTGTTGCGTCGTTGATTAACCATGGACTCTACCATTCCATATGGGTTATTAATTTTATAATAATTTTTCAAAATAATTAAATTTAAAATGTATAATCATTAAATCGTTTTTAAATGCTTGAATATACCAAATGACTATGTTATTTTACTACAGGGATTTTAATTTCATTTATAAAACGCACTGGTAATGTATAAAAGTAGTTTTCAATTGTTGATACGCCACGGCGTATCAAGTGGACTTGGAACGTCTTCCTTGCGGTGTACTGAATCACCGGGCTGGGCTGGAAGTTTAGGGCCTGTGGTTTTGACATACTCTACAAAGTAAAAGTTAGACTCTGGTCCTGTACTCAATGGGCTATGTGATATTTACTGAATTACGATCTCTTAACATATTATCATTATTTCATTCTTTAAATTGCTTTCTATCCATTGATTTATTGTCTATAATTTGAGATGTGTATAAGAGACAGGATGTATTTTAAACAAAATGAAAAAAGAAATACAATTCTTAAAAACTACCATAAACTCTTCTCAAGACCTTAAAGTTCTACTGTTAGGCCTACATTTATGTTAGATATATGTCTGCCTTACATTTATTTTGTACTTTTAGATTTCTAAAACAGTTTACAGCCAAAGCTCAAGGGCCCTGAAAATTTAGGTCTAGAATGTTGTTTGTTCTGCAGCTAAAGGGGGAGAGGGTGGCTCAGATCCGCTAATGTCATGCGTCCTTGAGCCGCACTAGGTAATTTCAAATTCTTGCAGGGTGTTCCCTTAAAGAAACTTCGTCAATGAACTATGCGGTACCTCAGCTCTACCATTGACACTGGAAGTCATGTTGGCATTGTCGAGTTTTCCACGTTTGGCACAGAGCTTGCTCCTCTCACACTTGTGTCTGATGACAGCTCCCGAGATAAACTTATTGCAGCTCTACCTTCATCAGTAAGCGGTAGGACAAGCATTGGGTCAGGTGTTCTAAAAGGAATAGAGGCAAGTGAAAACGGTCAATGATTCAGTTGTAAAATATTAATAAGGTTTGGTAGAATGATGTTGACATAACATTTCCAGTGGCATACCCAGACGAGGGGCGGGGATGCTCATGGTACCGAAGAACCCCCTTTTGTTACTTTGGACATTCCAGCATAAAATGCCATGAAACGCCCATTATCTGAACAAAATGTTTTCACAACTTGCTTTTATTGGTCCGATTTTCTTCATTGATCTTTCATTCTTATTATAACTCCACTGTCACAATACTGGAAGTGATTCTCACAACTCTTTGCTTTCTTTATTAGGATCAATTTTTAAGGATGATGGGTCTGCCAATATTTTAAAGTGTTCATTTTACTTTTAGGTTCTATCTTCAGGTCAGTCGCCGAATGGTGGGTATCTACTTGTCATAAGTGATGGCAAAAACAATGAATGGCCAGACATTAATGGCGTTCTAGATGACGTAACGCAGACAACGCCTTATCGGATTTGTCCAGCGTATCTGGAGGAAGTGCTTATTTTTATTCAAGCGCATCCGAAAGTATTACAGGCCTTATTGATTCACTAGCAGCAACGATATCCGACCGTTCGGATGTAACCAACGAATCGTTAGCGATCCTGGTAAGAAATTATTGATGTTAATTACAATTGCTATCTTATAGTTCATTTCCTTTTATATTTTCTTGGTCTATATTTTTAACATTTAAATCCCAGCCCCGAAACCTTGACTCAGAAATACCGGGGGATAGTTTCTACCAATTTTATCTATTTAAGTAATTGTACAGTATTTGTCCTACCTTGTAATCCCAGCCCCGAAACCTTGACTCAGAAATACCGGGTTGGTGTCCGGCGTGGGGTAGTTTTTACCATATTATTGTAGTTAAGCTTAACCTTGAGCGGTAATTCCTGGCCCCGAAACCTTGACTCAGAAGTACAGGGTTGGTGTCCGGCGGGGGATAGTTTTCCACCAGAGTTGTTAATATTGTTTATTTTATTGTACTGTGCTGGTTACTTTTTGTTGTTGTTATTGTACTGTGTTTTTGCAGGACCATATTGTAAAACAGCGGTTAGATTTCGCCTGTATATACCGTATGTTATCCTGTCTAAAGATGTTTTAAATGAAATAAAATAAATTAAATAAATAGTCTTTAAAATTGATTAAAGAAAAACTTTGAAAAAAATATTTACATTAGTTATGAAATTACAACTGTTGATATTATTGTATATAGAAGGTCTGTGTTGAGCTGAAAACAAAGAAAAATGGCAGCCATTTTGAAATTTCAAAATGGCAGAGAATACAATAGACCCTCGCATTTTTGGATTCAGCATAACCAAAATATACAGAAAAAAAAAATACCAAAATAAAATTTCTTTGAGTAACTATCTCACAGACACTGTTTTTCGGACATTAAGTTTCCCAATAAATCAACAGATAAACTCAATTATTAGTTTTTTCCTCAATTATAAGACGTGTAAATAATTCTGTCTTAGTAGTTTTCCGAAAACCATTAAATTGGTTTGTAATGTTTAAGGATATTTTTATAAAGTATTGTATGAAGGTTTGCATTTCGAAGCAACATAGGCACTTTACGCAAGAAGATTTGGAGCCGTCGACAACGACAATTCGGGTTAAGCGCCCAAGTATTTACTGATGGTCGTCACGCTTCGACGAGCACAGAACCGCTGTCCACCTGTCTTCCCATCCTGTTGCGTAAAGTGCCTACTCACTACTGCTTGTGGCTTACCACGTACATACGTTTTTATAAAACAAAGTTATACCAGCAAAAACTAATGTCTTTGATCTGTGCCTTACTAGATGTTTATAGACTATTAGATACTTTAAATGACCAATTTAATGCTACATAATATTGGTTAATTGACTGACTGACTTTTACTTGTTTGCTTGTTAAAAAGTATTCTCGTTCATCCATTATTCTATTCATTTATCCATCTAATCTTCCATCGATCTATCCCGCTATCTACACATAAATAAATAATAACAGTACTCGAATAGGAACATGTTGGAATAATCATATCAAGTAGGCCTATATATATATCCTATTGTTTCCAATCATGCTTGCATGAAATGCTCACTTTATATCATGCCTATTTATATCCTTATATATAGGCCTATTTACCGGTATATATATCCACGATCTTACAACATTTAGTTTTGATTTGTTATTATTAACGTAAATCTAAATATTTTGCTATTTACCGAAAGCTGTATAGCGAAGCGCTGCCCATCAATGATACTGAAGGTACAACTACAGGTTACGTTATCATTGATACAAGTGTTGGAGTCGAAACAGTATTTTTCTTCGCATGGCTTTTGTACCCTGTAGAAGTTGTTCTAGAAAACCCAAAAAGGACGGCGTTTTGACAATACCAATGAAGAGTATGATTTCAACCGCGTAGATAGTATTATCATCATCCGTATAAGTGAGCGTGCTATGGTAGGTATCATGTTATGTTTTACTTGATCACTTAATTGACTGCCGATTGATTAGTTAGGGAGCCTCGCAAAATAAAGCAACGCGTATACGAGTGGACCACGCGATGCGATTAAAGGCAGTTTAATCCCATAGTTGGCCACGCGTTGGGATTATTTTCCTGGGCTACTCCACTTCGTAGTGGGGAATTGATAACAGGCTTAGTGTAAAAACCCAATTAACACAAACAAAAACGTCTCGTATATAAAAATAAACCCTATTGGAAGTAACGCAAGCTCACGTTATATTTCTGAGAATTACATTAATAATTTATCGAGATTATCGTCACCGTTACGATCAAAACCAACAGACAGCAAACATATAAAACTAGGAGAGGCCTAGGACATAGATATTATACCTCCATGGATAGGGCCTCTGCTTTGGCTTACTCAGAAAAATTACGGAGTAACATTAAAAATCGAAAACAGGCAATTTTTATGAATTTTTGTTAGGCCTAATTATATATTTTTACAGTTAGTCTTTAAAATTATCAATTCTTATATCGTTTTAGTATTAATTAAGATTATTAAATAAAACTGTCTAGGACGACAGACAGATATCGGTCTACTACAGTAGGCCTACATTCGATCATGAACTTAGGGGTACACTTCCTTTGTTAGCGAAATACAAAAAAAAAATATTGAACTTCATATAACGTACCTTTATCTGATATAAATGTGAGCAGTTGTCCTAGGCCTATATATTATCTATTTTAATATTGATTAATCTGGAACTTTGGTGGAACAGTATATCCATTGTATGTGACGAGAAACGTTTCAAAAAAAGCAAAAACAATCTCCAGCTAGCAGTTACATGCACTGCTCTCACCATTTTCTACCGATGAAACACATGTTTTGATGCGGCACAAACCTAGACTCTATTCTATTTCAATATGATTAATCGAAGTTTAGTGTAAAAGAATATATTTATTATATATGATTATCAGGCTCTTTAAAAAAGGTATTGTATTGTATACTGTAAAATATTGTTTTCTCCGTGTTTTCTCTAGATTGCTGTTCAATGTATTGCTTTCACACCTTTTCAAACAGCGAAGCACATGTTTTGTTGCGTCGTTGATTAACCATGGACTCTACCATTCCATAGGGGTTATTAATTTTATAATAATTTTTCAAAATAATTAAATTTAAAATGTATAATCATTAAATCGTTTTTTAACGCTTGAATGTACCAAATGACTATGTTATTTTACTACAGGAATTTTAATTTCATTTATAAAACGCACTGGTAAT